AACAGGTAAGGGACAGAGTTGTGGATAAGTACAGATCAGAGTTGGGTTATAAAAAAAAATACCTAAAACTTTGAACATCCCACCGAGCACCATTAAATCCATTATTAAAAACCGGCAAGAATATGGCACCACAACAAACCTGCCAAGAGAGGGACGCCCACCAAATCTCATGGACCAGGCAAGGAGGGCATTAATCAGAGAGGCAACAACGAGACCAACGATAACCCTGAGGGAGCTGCAAAGCTCCACAGCGGAGATTGGAGTATCTGTCCATAGAACCACTGTAAGCCGTACACTCCACAGAGCTGGTCTTCATGGAAGAGCGAGCAGAAAAAAAGCCATTGCTTATAGAAAGAAAAAAAAAATTAGCAAACACGTTTGCTGTTCACCAAAAGGCATGTGGGAGACTCACCAAACATATGGAAGAAGGTACTCTGGCCAGATGAGACTAAAATAACGGTTTTTTTTCCTGAAGGCCAAAAAGTTTAATGTCTAGCGCAAACCCCAAGGCCTCTCATCACCCTGAGAACACCATCTCCACAGTGAAGCATGGTTGTGGCAGAATCATGCTGTGGGGATGTTTTTCCATCGGCAGGGACTGGCAAACTGGTCAGAATTGAAGGAATGATGGATGAAGCTAAAATACAGGGAAACCTGTTTTAGTCTGCCAGAGATTTGAGACTGGGACGAAGGTTCACCTTCCAGCAAGCTAATGACCCTAAGCATACTGCTAAAGCAACACTCAGTGGTTTACGGCGATACATTGAAATGTCTTGCAATGGCTTAGTCAAAGCTAAGACCTCAATCCAATTGAGAATCTGTGGCATGACATCAAGGTGGATGGGTTTCGCTGGTGTACAGCCATCTTTAAGGAGCTGGAGCAGTTTTGCCTTGAAGAAGGGGGCAAACATCCCAGTAGCTAGATGTGCCAAGCTTATAGAGACGTACCCCAAGAGACTTGCAGCTGTAATTGCTGCAAAAGTTGGCTCTTCGAAGTATTGACTATGGGGGGTGAATAGTTATGCAAGTATATCTGGGTTTTTTTGTCTTATTTCTTGTTTGTATCCCAATAAAAAATATTTTGCATCTTCAAATTGATAGGCAAGTTGTGTAAATCAATTGATACAGAAATCCATTTTATTTCCAGGTGGCAATGCAACAAAATAAGAAAAATGCCAAGGAGGTGAATACTTTTGCAAGTCACTGTATGTGCTGATGGCCGTATAGAATCAGCGCTAGGGACCCTGACAGGAGGCCACACCACTGAAGACAAAACAGCAGTAGCGGGTTCAACACATTGCAACTCACATATAACCAACATCCATATTGGTTACCCATATCATTTAAAAAAAAAAATATTGAAAGGTTCAAACCCTGGTCAAGCAATTTGTTTGCCATGTGCCCCATTGGGTAGATATCACTTGACTTCCTATCCTAAATTTACAACAGGTTGTGTGATGGAATCTCCCAAATGAAGGGGATTCCCCTTTTAGATAATGGTCATCAGAACAGGTATGTGACTGCTTAGAATTTTGCATTTCTTATCACTTTCAGTCCTGATGACAATGACCACCACAACAAATGCAGAGTGAATCTCCCTAGCTCGGACACAGACAGTAATAATACCCGCACGGCGGGTTCTAACCTCTCACCATTCAATCTAAAACACATTTGAATTTATAGAACCTTCTCAGTATGCTCCCAACTGTGTGTGTCAAATCTGCTGGACTCACTTTATTAACAGACACAAAGCAAAGAGTGTTAGTTGTTTAATTTGATACAAATGTACATTACGATTCTTTTTACATAGAACACCCACCACCGAGGTCTCACAGACCACAGTATAAGCAGAGTATGGCATTTTAAGCTTCAAAACAATAATAAAAAACAAACAAACCCCTCACTAGTTGGAATTTACAGACGGGTAACTTTAGAACCAGCAGCAATATGAAAAAGATGAATGATGAAACACCCCACCTGTCAGTAGCTTGGGGAGGTGTTCTAGCTGCAGATAGGATTGGAGGGGAGACAGATGATGATTTGAACAATTTAATTATACACTTTTACTGCACTAAAGACTATTCTTCTGCATCACTGCTATACGTCTAATGCCAGGTTCAAGCAGGACTGGATGCAGCTGAGCATCCAACTTGTATAGATGGCTGAGCATTCCAGCCACAGCTAGATTGATTAACCCCGAGGAAAAGCAATAGATGTGAATGGCTGGCTGTTGTGGCACAAACATTATATGGATCACAACGCACCACCTGCCACCCATTCAAATCTGACCCGTCCTTAGGGGGGCGCTTGGTAAGGATCACAACCACATACCTTGCTCCTCATTTCAGGGTCCATGTGAGGCCCTTGAAGTGCTGTGTATTTATACTGTGTAATGAAGAGCATCTGTTGCATTACATAGCTACACCTCCTTTTCTAAGGACCTTAGAGGGAATGTGTCATGAGGCAAAATACCAGTTTTATAAACCTTAGATGGAAACTGCCAGTCTCTACTTGGTCCAACTTACAGTGAAACGTTGGAGTTAACATTGCTAGCTTGTTTTTAAAGTTGCAGGTTCTGTTGCCATCATCCAGCTTCATGCTTCTCTACCCAATTAGTCATTGTCCTGGAACGAACACACAGCCAGGAAGTTTGAAATACCGTCTCCCATAGTTCCAGGTCAGAGACTCACAAAGGCCCCTTCACACGGGTGCCCGTCAGTTCTGATCAGCAGGGGATCTGTGATCGGAGCAGTACTGAACGAATGTCACCATTGTGTCATCCATGTTGGAGAGAAAAACTGCATTCAATAGACCCATGTTAGGTCTATGAGGAGTGGGATATAAGTGGACATGTGTCCATTTACGTCAGATTACTCCCGATCCACTACGGTCAAGTTTGCCAAAACAGAACTCTGTTCCGTGTTGTTTTCCAGACCTGGACGGCGTTGGGGGTAATTGGATGATGCACATACATTAAGATCCAGCTGCCCTTAGAACTAACATTGAGCTTTTCGATCAGATCCACTTGAAGATCCGACAGGTGGATCTGATTGGATCACCCATCTGGAAGGAACCCCAGTAGCAAAGCCAGGGTCAGAATGACATACACTGAACCATAAAAACAAGGTAGTAATGACAGCTCCCATATTATCATCCTGACATCATCCCTTCAAAACAAACCTGAGCAATAAAACAGCTTAAGGGGGTAGGTACCTGAGCCGTCAGCACATACCTTTCGCTGCAGGTTTGGTCCCTTCAGCATTGCCTGCAGCTCCCTCGATATGTCCCCATAATAGTTTACATGTAGTAGTCGATCCACCGCACTCCAGACCTGGAATCCCATAGAATAAGTGGGTGCTGGCAAATCACAGGAACTAGGAAAAAGTCAAATGTGCTGAACGTCCTTTTATTGGGACGCTAGGCAATCATAACAACAAGCAACGTTTCACAAACGAACATGGTCACGGTGTTTGCCTGAAGGGACCATGTTCTGTTCCGAAACGTTGCTTGTTGCACTGCGTCACTATGATTGCCTAGTGTCTCAATAGAAGGACATTTAGCACATTTCACCATAATAGTTTAGGCACACCTATAATTCAGTCTAGTTCATGAATAACATAGGCAAGTCAACGTCATGTTTGGAGAAAGTCTATTTTTACTTTGCATGGGTGCCCGACAGCACTGAAGGGACAAAACCGGAAGCCAAATGTATATTCTGATGCTACAGCTATAGTGAAATATAGTGTAATAGAATGTAACTGATGCCACAGGCACACTTTGTCATCAACTGTACCAGTATACAGGCCAAGAAGCAGAAGGACTACAGCTCACACCTGAGGACCCTCAGAGGTATTTTTCTGCTGCTTGACAGATTCAGGTTTATTGAATGAAAGACAAACAGCAGTGTATAAAGTGCAGTAACTTGAAGTGATCATCTTGGATGCGATTGGTTAGTGCACATTGCACATTACACTGGTTTGCTGAATGAGCTAGATACTTCTTTGTTTCAAGCATCTTGCAAAATGACAATCAAGGCATGTCAAAGATATATGGAGCATCCCGCTCTGCGATATCCTGGGAGCGCAAACAAAGAAATGTTCAGTGCAAACAATGGAGGAGAGCTCAGGAAGACTAAAGACTTGTGACATTTACTGCACACATGTAGTAAACACAGGACTAAGTCAGTCATTCTGTGTAAGATTCACTGAAGGAGCAACTCCCTGCTAATATTGCCATCGCAAGCTAGATGCAACGGCGATTTGCTACCTTGCGGAATAGAAGCGTCTTGCTTGCAGAATGTTCTTTCCCAGCAGTGTCACTGTTCAGGCCCATTAAGATGCAGCCAGCTTTTACAATGAGCTTAAAGTGGTTACAGACCAAATACTTAAACAGTCTTCTACATTAAGCACCTTACCACCCCAATAACAAAAAGAGATGTTTATAATATATTATATATATGTGTACATATATATATATATACATAGTTTCCAGTGTAAGTCTAGGTTGGCCACATTCATTTATTCACAATAACCCTTTCATACACAGCAATGTAGCACAGGGACTGGCTGAAGCTGAGCAGGATGGGAATTTGTCAGCAAAGTGTTCAGTTTGTGCTGCCCCATAGCGCGTAGCAGATTTCAATTGATAAATACATCCACTCTAAGTTATGGGGTACATGAACACGGCTGTGAATGACAGGTGTCATATTTAGCATGTTGCTATGAGATGTACGGTCTTCTGTCAATCACAGTCCCCGTAACCAACAGAAGGAGCAGTAGGCAGGGCAGAGATGGAGTCCCTGCAAATAGCTTAGTCATAACATTAGCTTCATCAGCATGTATATCTGAATATATTGCAGGCAGTGTGTGTTGTGAACTGCAGATCGGCCATTTTTTTTCTATATACAAATATTTGAAGCACTTTGATAAATCCTGCAAATGTTCATCTCATAATGGATTCCATCCCAAAGTTTAGCAATGGAATATATTTTTGCAGATGCGACATCCAGTTACCGTAGGGAGCAAAAGTATCCCGTATACATCACCCTTACCATCAATGGACCAGGATATCATTGTGCTTTATAATCCAGTGAGCTGACAGCCATGGATCCTTTATGTAAACATTATATAGTAAAACACATTTGGCTTAGCTCATATACAATGAGCCTTCATGCTACTGTTCCATAGATAACCATCACAAGACGTGTGACTGACCCTCCTACCACAAGACAATTCCTAGAACCACACACTTTTTTTTATAAGTAACTATATATGCTTTGTACACACATAAATACACATGTGTGCAGTGTTTTGGAAATTAATACGCTCTACAATTCAAGAAAGTAAAGGCAGGGCATGCCTACATTATGTTGCTGATGAGGGGGACTGTAGATTTAACATTTGGTTGCCTGAAGAGCAACTCTCACGTTGGTTGCCAGGAGTGTAGATGCCTCAGTCTCATCCAAGGCTATGGAGAATCCTCAGTGTCTTATGGAAGTCTTGGCAGCTACGACATTACAAAAGAGAAGTGCCCTCTAGTGAAGGACACGAGGTGTATAGTCCACACAAAGGTCACAGTTTCTTCTCCCGGGTGGTGATAGTGACCAGCTGTTTGGCGGCCTTGGCAATGTCGTAAGCGCACTGGATGACCTGCTGGGTCAGAAGCTGGTAGTCTACTGAGGCCCCTGGCTCTGGTGGCACAGTTTTGCGACATTCAATTTGCAGCCGGTAAGCGCTACCATTGAGCAACTTCAAGGAAGACCGTACCGTCTCCAATGCTGGCTTCTAACAGAGGCAGAAAGAAAATAAAAAATCAGTAACTATGGCTCAGCATACAATATGTAATATAACGGAACTAATCTGTGAGAAAGTACTAGAGCTTTGCCCAAGCTGAACAGCCCGGCATTTAAGCAAAGCAGAAGACACTCAAAGCTGCAGCAGGTATTTACAGGAACATCTGGCTGCATGTCATATCTATCCCAGCTTTTAGCATTCCTAAAGTGACAGTGTCCTAAAAGTTGAATTATAACTTATTTCTTGCAACAATGAATGGCAACTGTATAAAAAAAAAAAAACACTATTTTAATGGTAATGGCCTTTTTGAAATGTTAAAGTTATCATACCATGCTGGTGTCTTACAACACATGGAAGTTTCAGTGCTGGAGACACAGCACTAGTGATGACTTCATCCAAACCCACCTAAAACTGTCACAGTTATGAGCAGGCTTGGCTGAAATGGGTTCGCATCAGGCCCAAACTCATCAACTGGCGCACACCAACTACCAAAAAATACCACTTCCATCTTGCCAAGCCATCAACAGGAAGCCGTTTTAATGATCATGTGATCAATGCACATTTAAACTCTGATTAAGCTATTTAAGGACTGGGTGAAGTTTGCTAGTCACATTATAAGAACCAGTAGTGAGGAGATCAGGGCCAAGCCAACTTTTACAGAAATGCATACAACTACAGCTGCCTCTAGGTCTACTGATTACTTTAGGTCTACTGATTTCTTTGACTAGTGCTTTTCACTCATGACAATGCAAGCACTACATGTTTGTCATATGTTACATTTGAGCACTACGTTTGTCATATGTTACATTTGAAATATTAAACTTTCTGACAGTTTTACTTAAAGAAGCCACAGGCAGCATATGAGAGACTTGTCTGACCCCAATATTTGTTTCTGTCTTAGACGGCCTTGGGAAGGTTAAATGCTCTGCAGACACTTTGGTCTAGGCTGCCCATGTCTGCAGGAAACAAATTAGCTGAATAATTCATAATTAGATGACAACTGCTGCCCAGAGGGCTGTAGCTTCCTACTGACCTCTCGCATGCCATTTGATCCTACTTGGAGACTGGGCAACAATCATCTAATATCTATGAATATCTGAAAGGAATCCGTCAGATTAGAAATACAGGAGCTACCAATGCTGCCATATTCTAGAAGTACATCCCCTGAGCTGTCATTCTGATACTCCCATATCAGCTGTATCACCTGATGTAGACATGCCTAGGATAACACATGCTAAGGATAACTGCCTGAAACTTGTACCCACTGTACTGGCATTGGCAGCTCCCACGTCTTCACACTGGCAGGTTCTCTTTATGCAGATGAGAATAATAATACGCTGAAAGAAATTACCTTTGGAAATAGCGATGCCATTTCTGTTACTGCTGAGTGAATCTTCTCAGAGCAAGGAACAAAACTAGAAGAAAGAAGAAACAATAACACTGAATCCGGGGCATCAACTAAAGTGAAACAATACGGAGCAAGTTGCTTGCACTATGTACTGCTCTGATTGCACCCGGAAACACAATATCATATGCCATCAGGTGATACACAACAGCACTTAACAGATTGCGGTCAATTGAAAGCGAAGTAAAATGTGGAGTTGGCCTTTAGTTTCCTCTGCGGAACTATACTTTGTACATCACTTTTTGAGGATCCTTATCAAGCTAAGCGGGTACTGTGCACTAATCACCACAGCAGAGTGAAATCTCCAAATATTGGCCATCAGTTCAGAGCCATGCTGTCATATCTAGATGCGTCTGCCCCTTACCTGTCATGTTTGAACTCTTGTGCAGCTCTGAGGAGCTCCTGGATGTTTTTGGTTACTTGTTCGGTCCTCAGGATTACATCCTCCGTACTGGGTAATGTTGGGTCCAACCCGATCTCAACATCTTCAGAATCCGCATGGAAATCTTCATCTCGAGACATATCCAGGAACCTCCTTCCTTCCATGCTGGCAACATAACCATAAATACACAAAGACACAAAAGTAAGAATGACACACAGACTATAATCACCCAAAGACCAAAACATTACCGGTGCCAAGGAAGAACATTTCGGCAGGGACTAGGAAATAAAGCCCACAAATCATTCATTTGTATAGATATGTAAACATCTGCTCAGCCTTGCTAGGACAGTTAGGTTAAGGACCTGTGTTGGGGAGCTTAGGGATGCAATACAGCTTGCATTTGTGAGACGCCTCTGAGATTATTCACTACACTGAGAAGGGTATTTGACTTGCAGCTGACCTACTTCTGGCTTCATGATAATTTTATATTTCCATAGGAAATAGAGAGGCAGTTCTGACATGAACAAAAGCCAGTCAATACAGGCCGTAAAAGAGAAAAAATAAAGTACCAGAATAGACGAAAAATAAAAATCACTAGAATCAATGCTCTGACCAGAGGAAAAGAAACTGTTCTGAATGGTAAGTGAGGAAGTACAGACTTAGGAACATTAAAACAAACACACAAGTATACAGAATTACTGCCAAAAGTCACATTATTTAAGATCATTTGTTCCATTTCTAATGGCACTAAAACTACATTTCTATTACAAAGGAGGAAAGTTATTTACAAACCAAATAAAACATTTTGTTTTGTTTTTTTGAGTCACTAAAACAATTATGCACCAAAAAAGGAATATGAAAACAAGTTCAAATACTAAATTGTAAAAAAACAAAATGAATGAGCCAAAACAAATGAATTGCAATGTAGACACAATTATTTTCATTGACAGCTCCTCTTTCTGGGACTCAAAATTGGCTGACAATTGTGTCCAGGGAAGTGCAGGGGAAGGAGGAGGATCAGAGTGTACCACACATGCCCTAACTATTTAGGTTATGGTTTTTAACCACTTCCGGGCCACAATACGTCTATAGACGGCGGCCCGTGTAAGTGGCAGCAGCCGTGTTCTTGGTACCGCTTTTAACAGCCAGCGCGATGGCTGTTAATGTACAAGCGATCCGATGTCTGTACAGCCAGCAGATTGTTTGTACCGTGCGCCCGGCCGCCGTTGTCTTCCCCAGGCAGCACTGTCCCCTTGCGGTGCCCGGGAGCGGCCCGGCGGGTCTCACTGCAGTGATCGGAGAGAGATTCAGCGGCTTCCAGTGCCTGATGTCTTCTCCGATCAATGGACCCAAAAGTGATGTGTCACTGTACACAGTCTCCGGCTCTTAGAGCCAGGAGAAAAAGCTGGGGAAGCAGATCTCGGCTTCATCAGCTTCTCTGGGGTCCCTAGGTGACATTAGGGATCTGAAAGGTCCCTGATGTCTCCATAAAGAGGACCTGTCACACCATATCTGCTGTTACATAGGGGGCTCGTTAGCCCCCTATGTAATAGCAAAAGGGTTAGTGTAAAAAAAGAAAGGTGTATAAAAGTTATGAAAATGAAAGTAACATAACAAAAATGTAAAAAATTTTTTTTTTAAGTCCCCCCCCCAACGTGCACGCACATACACACAAACACGTGTCAGTGCGCCTACATGCGAAAACGACAATTTTCGCATGACATGTTAAATATCGCCGCGAACGTCGGAGTGAGAGCAATAAGTCTAGGGCCATCAATCACTGATAGCACTAAACTGATGAGCGGTAAAAGCCTCTAAAATGTTCCCTATGAACTTTTTTTGCGGCTTCACAAGCGAACGCAATTTTAAGGCTTGACATGTTTGGTATCTATTTACCCGGCGTGACCCCGTCTTTTATATTTTACCAAAAAATTTGGTATTCTATTATGTTTCTGTGCAGTAAATTTTAATTTAGTTTATTTTTTGCTAAAAATACTGGTTTGATAAACATTTGCGCAAAAAACGTGCGACGTAAGAAATTGCAACTAGCATTTTTGTATTCTACAGGGCCTCTGCTTTCAGAACATATATCATTGTTTGCGGGTCTGAAGCTTTTCTAGCCAAAAATGTATATTTTATCATGTGTGCGCAAATAGTAAGAAAATGCCCCGCACAGCAAGTGGTTAAGGTGTGCGTAGTATGGCCCAAATTCACAAATGACCACCTAATCTTCACCTCCATGAGGCGGACTGATCCACGACCCAATTGGGACTGCATGGTGCTTGTGCAGAAATGCACAGTGGGCAGTTTTTTGCAAGTGAAAAAGTGTTCATTACTTTAATTTGCAGAATATGCGCAGAAAGGTTGTGGCCCCCCCTTAGGCGAGTACTTACCCGCTACTAGTTTCTGTGGTCTGGGTATTGTCATAGTCACTGTCTGCTCCACTGCCGTGCCGATCTGCCTTGGCAGACTGTAGAAAAGAAATGGGTTAATTATTCCTGTGCACACTATCCATCCATCATAATCCTGACTTTTCAGCAAACAGATATTACCTGAGATTAAAAGGAGTCACTGTGTGTACTATATACAGAATGTCTACAGACAAAAGGGTTCTAATACAAAAAGCCACAGACATTAATGGAGGTTAGTTCTAACCCTGCTTCACCCTCCTATCGTACCTTTACCTTAGTACATAGTCATTTTTGAATGTACAATCTACGTCAGTTTTTGAATCTCAACACATTTTGTTCAACATTTTTAACTCTAAGCTTGACACTAGCGCTTGTACTCGTGAAAATGCCCTGTATCGGCCCTGATACTAGTATCGGCATCGGGACATCCCTAATTTCTATTTATACGTTTATCATTCTCTTGAAAGCAAACCTACCAAAAACTCTGAAAAACTGGCAATTCAAACTAAGGATACGGTGCACAAGTAGAGGTTACCTTCAGTGAAAACCGCAGTAGATCAAGGGATGTAGGCAGCTGAAGTTACATAGAGATCTTGACTATTCCTGCAAAAGTTAAGCTTAGCACCACCTCCTCCAGCATTTCCTGATTGGTCAGCGAGACAAACACCCCCCCCCCGATCACAATAAAAGAGGAAGGCGGGGGCAATGCAAAGCGTGACTTTTACAGAAGTCAATATTAGCATATAAGCATATAAGCTTTGTTTTAATCTTGGTCAAACCAAAACTTAGATGAAGATGGCAACTGATTTCACTGACATACACCCATAAATGTAATGTCCAGGAGTCTAGTGGTAAGATCACCCGACTGGGGTTCTCAGAGCAGGACATACTGTATAACAATGACATAGTGGGGGTTCCTCAAATGACCACAGAAGATGGAACTATACTTCATAGGGATGTCTACTAAAGTGCTGCGCTGGTTCAACAACAGATTAGGAAAGTCAAAGAAAAAACAACATATGGTGCATGTGAAAGATGGATGTCACAATAGTGAAAACAGTACAATAAAGGTTTGGACAAGATGGTATATAAACAGTTCTACAGATTGCAGCCACACAGACTAGGGGTTAGCTTCATCCTGGAAGCAATTTAGTTTCTTATGTTCAATATGGTTAAACATGAATTTGCTTATGCTGGGTTGATGTTGATAGCTTTTGGAATCCATCTATATTTACTTTTTTACCTGCTAAATAAACTTTAATACAACACAGCCATTCTGGTGAAACTTTTTCCACACTGTACAACCAGAACAGTGATACGCAAAGTTCCCAGTCTAGTAATTCAGCTTCCTGTGTCACCTCCTCACTTCTGTCCAGTAAGCAGGAGCTGACTTAGGAAGCAGAAATGCTAAACCAGGAAGTAGCAGAGATAGCTTCACATGGATGGCTGCCCACAAAATAAATACAAACCATTTACTAAGTAAAACAGTAAACATATATGGAGCTAAACTGTGTATTTATCTGTCAATGTCAAAATGAGAATAGAAAATGTAAACCTGCTGTAAAAATAAAAAAAGGGAAACAGTGTATACACGTAACAAGGATTGCCATCATTAGTAATTGTCAATACAAAGGAGGGGGGTACATCACCATGTTCCGGGTATTGTCCGGAGGTCCAGAGAACAGAGGGGAGGACAGAGGGGGGAAGGGCACAGAAGAGGCAGAGATCCCTTTCCGGATCTAAAACAGAAGGGGATTGTGAGGCAACATGCACACACACGACAAAAACACAGATAATAACATAACTACATACTACAGTCAATGCATATGTCTAGCATACTAACATAGAACATAGACACCTTCACCAATATACAGTAGACGACTCTGTGCAGATATATCTATACAAAGGACAAACATAGGGGGCTGCAATGAGGGGGGCACCAACTCATGCTCATGTTTAGTGAAGACATAGAATAAAGACAGTTCAGTATTCCCAGACCACATGTCGCTTCTAAATAGGACTTTAGTTTGTTTTATACCAGCCGAGCGCTGTGGGGATAATAATGGTACGGCTGAGGAAATGATTCAGTCTCAGTCCACGCTGGGGAACCTGCAGTTTTCAAGAACCTACAATTCCCTGAGAGGCGCTGGCTGCCAGGAAATGGTGCAAGCAATTTATTTGACTTATTTATGATAAGTATTCATATAGCAGGGACGATTTATGCAGGGCGCATGGTGGCGGAATTGTGCATGCATCTTGTTTGTAGGCAGCTAAAAGTAGATCTATATTTTGCCAATGCAGGTTCACTTTATTATGTCACCCCCAACTTCTATTTATCTTCCCTTCACTCTGCCGTCACTCTTCCTCTGCTGGAGTGAGGATAAGCAGTGTTCTGCAAGCTCGGTGTCTTCTCTCTCATATGACAGAGCTGTGGCCTGGCAGATGGCTGCTCAGACACTCACTCAGTGTTGTATCATACCAGGAAGAAGAGGAAGTCACATGCTCCCTATACCTAGAAGTACTGGGTATTTCTCTTTCCTTGTACCCAAATGGAATGGTGGAGTATGAGTATATGTGGGGGGACAGATTTAAGTGACATTAAAGGGATCCCCCACCACCCAATGTTAGTGTCAGGACTTACTTAAATCATGCCTCTTCGATCATCTTCCTTACTGTCCTTTTCAGCTGTCCCTCCAGCGCTGGTGCGGGTCTCCGATCCAGCGCCGACTCCTCTGTCCTCCTCTTCTCTTACGTTCCACGGTGTTTGTGCGGGTGCACGCTGCTCCACAGACTTACCTTGCGTCTCTCCTCATCTCCCACCCGAACTGTGCATGCCCAAAATCCTTTACGGCCGCCCAAGACTCTTCAGATGTTCGGACGGGAGCGTGCGGCAAAGACACAGGTAAGTTTAAACCTGTTTCAAAAGGGTTTAAAAAAAAAATGTTTTTGCATATATCTACTGCTTGCTAGCAGTAGATATATGCAAAAAAGTGAGTTTATTAACCCTTTAAGTGAATGCGCTGCTTTTTCCCCCTAAAAGAGCTATATGTAAACACTGTGAATAATGACAAAATGAAACAGCGTTAAGAGAAACACGAGACGCCATGCTGATCCTCTGTTTTTAATACTTTCAGCCACTGTCCTAGAACAAATATACAGATCAGAGATGCATTTTTGTTTTAAGTCAGTGACTCAAAATGTTAAAGCCAGTAAAAGCCAAAAAATAGCATTTTAAAGTAGAGGTCAGGAATGGCAGGGGCTGCAGAATAAGAGATTGTGGACTCTGTGTCCTCAATCTCTTTTTCTATTGTAAAAGGGAAATATTAGAGATCTGTTTAGACCCCTGATATTTCCCCCCAAGCTCCCGACAGTAAAGTAACAAAATAATAAAATATTTTTAAACATTTGAAAAGGTTAGAAAAACCCCCCAAAACTTCGGTTTTGGACGGACATTTTTTAATTTTCGGTCTGGTTTTTGAACATTTAATTTTGGTGCACCTCTAATTCTAGCCGATCAATTGCCATAGGTTGCTGCACTTTAGTCTAATCAAGAATCATATCACAGCAATGATAACTATAAAACATATACAAGCATATTGCTAAATATCAGCAATGACATAAACATGGAAAAGGGGCTCCGTTGCTGGTATGGTGTGAAGGTATAATAACGGTCATTATCAGTGTTGCCATACAGCAGACAATAAAACAATCCCTGTCCAGTATGGCAGCTACTCAACCTCCGTTTAGTAGAACCAGAAATGATGGAAATGGAGAAATACAGGCAATGTACCCACAGACTCCTCATCATCTTTACCATGTACCCTGTTCTGAAATACTGTATATGTATATAAAATCATGTCCACCCTTTTCAGAGGATTTCACAGAGAGCTGGAAAAATCCTTTGAGGCCGTTGCATCTAACAAAGTCATCTAAAATAACTTACAGCTGGCACTTGATGTCTGATTGTTTTGCTATTTCCTACCAATGGGAAAACATGTGCACTGGTTCCTTAAAGAGAACCAGTTACTAACTTGCAGACATATGGTATGCAATCAACATAGAAAAGCAATGCTAGAGGACAAGTGTAGTGTGTTTTCGGTAAGCACATATTTCAGGTTATTATTACACTTTGCTTTCCTTAAACTAATTTCTAATGTGACTTTCACATGTATACGATTGTCCTGATACCTTTTTATAGTAATAAATAAACAGAGATTGGAAGACAGGCCACTCGAGTAAAGCAGGCAATATAGACTGAGCAAATTTTGGGGGCGAGTTGTTAATGAATCGGCTGAAATTCGCCCAGTAGGTGCCTCGGTCTGCTGCCTCCTGCACATCATCCTTTGATTTAAAAATTGAAGGAACCGGGTGAAAAATTGTCAGCCAAACCGCGCCAGCATTTACTCAGATGCAGGCACCGTGGGGGTATTAGACAGCTGGCGGGAGATATGTATAAAACTACAAATTCCCTTTAATGGCTTTTCCATGTCTTATACGTTTTATGGCCCCAAAATGTATACAGATACCATGTCCCTGAGCGCCATCAGTGCATTGTCTCAGTGAAGGACACAGCTTCCTGCCTGAGTATGGTGAGTATACACAGATCAGACCGCTCAGGAGGGTGCACATAACAGGTTAATGAGCACTTAATATTATTACCATCTGCTCCAAGAAAAATTGAGGGCCAAGGCAGAAAAGGAGGAGAGAAACAAAATAAAAATGTTTGTACTAAGTGCACCAAGGGGCCACTACTAACACTGTAATTCATCAACGCCGAAATTCCCACAGTGGGTGTCGCTGTCGGCACCCTTCCGGCTGGCATCCCTCGATCAGCTGATTGAAAGAACCGGTTGGAAAATATTCAAACGAACAGAGCAGGCAGCCAATGAGCCGGTGGCCGCTGTCAGAATACAATGAAGACAGCGGGAGATTCCTCAATCAATACTCATAAGAGTTGATAGAGAAATCTGAACTATTTTCTTAACCCAATGACTAAACGGTGTATGGGCGGATTTAAGCTCATTGGTTGCCGGCTCTGTTCATTCGAAGATCTTCCAACCAGCTGGTTCATGAAAAACTGGCCGAAATGCACACAGTGTATAGTGTAGGCACACACAGGCCCAACACCTTTTTTTTATCACCTAAATAAACCAATAATGGTAAAACAAATCTATTCTGCATCAAAATTTAGTTGCTGTACACACTGTAGAGCACACAAGAGAAAGGAAGTTATTAAAGGAAAACTCTAAAATAAAATAATAATATGGCCGCTAAGTAGTTTACTGTTATTGATTGTACTATACCACCACACCCATTGTAAATTGTCAATTGCAACTTCATTCCAATATGACAACCTTGAGGACCTTCTAGGCACCGCTGGTGTATCAAAATGACTGTGTGATTGGCTCACTTCTTTTCCCAGATGTCTGCACTAAGATAGAAGTCAAACTTTAGGCATCCTCTGCAATTTTTAGTGAGATGCTACCTAATGAATTGCTTTCTTTTAAAGGGAAACTGCGGCTTTCCTCATTTGCTCAGGTGGTTGTAGTGAAGGTTGGATCCTCCCATTCAGGAGTCAGTTTAAGAAAAGAAATGCTGAAACAAATGGGTCATTCTTCACAACAAAAATATGTAGGAGTCTGCAATTTATATATATCTCTTATATATCAATTTATATAGATCACCTAAAGCAGATTGTGTTTTTCTTAACAAAACTGGAGTTATACTTTAAAGTGATAAAGTTTAACTTCCATACTTTACTCTTATTGACATTTATTTATATTTACCCCAGAGGGAAACGGCTGAAGTCGATTGCTAAGATCATCGGTGGATTGTCCAAATGGTTTAAGTGCTGATCCTGGCTCATACATGGAAAAGGCTTGCCGGTTTTGCCGGTGGGCAGCGGAAGGTGGGTGCTCTGCTCGCTCAGGGTTTGCTGGAGGAGGGGGTGATGGGCCTGTCTGGTATCGGATCTGTGAGTTTTCGGACTGCAGTTTCTGAATCTGAAAAGAAAAAAAAAAATGTTAAATACCTAATGTCTACCTAAATTAGATTACAGAAAGTTGTAGGTCATGAAAGGAGCGCAGTGTCTACTTGTCTAGAAATAACTAACGCACGGAAATGTGATGTCAAACTGTTAACAGAATAGATTTCAATGCTTATGAATATATTACAAACCATGAAAACTGGGCAATGGTGATGTTTTTAGAAGCAATTGTGGTTGTCCGAGATAATGTTTTAGGGTGATAGCTGCACTATCTACACTGAAAGCTGCTGGATCGAGTAAATACATCCACCGATATTAGATGAGTTCATTTGGTGGACTAAAACATGATCAGATCTTCAGGCCTCTCAAATCTTCCATGTATAATTAATTACATTTTCCTTGACCATCCCAATAGCCGACACAATATATGGCTAGTCCCAAGGCACATTAGTGTGCACATTTATAAAGCAATCTTTTGAAAAAGACAGTTTTACAGTGTGATTGTATGACAATCAGTGTTTATGACCAGCTTAAAGAGAACCTAAACTCAGAGTTAATAAAGTGCTGACATCAGTTCTCATGATGTGGACCTATTGCAGAAAACAAATAGCTCTGCATCATGAGTATGAATGTCATCACTGCTAACTTAGGAAAACTAAGATGGCCCCTTCAATTCACCCTCCCTAACACTTTGCTATTTTTTTTCAAGCGGACCTAAAACTTTTAAAGCAGAGCTGTAGCTTTATTAGAACCTCCACCGCCCTTCTTTCCCTTCCCTGTGGCCTCAACTGTACTAAAAACAAACTTCCAGGGGTCTTATGACCAGTCCAAAGACATCACAGGTCCTTACTCTTCTCCTCTGGAGGTGACAGCGTGCGGTCCTCAATGACCTGTAAGCAGGGTCCCAGGTCGGCATGATAACTCACCACCAGGGGGAAAGTCCGTGACAGCTTGGGCTCACAAAAGTGGGTTGAATTATGCCGTCCGTCATTAAACCCAGAAGATAAACGTTATCTGGTGGAGGAGCAGACTTGCCCTTGGCAAGCTCACTACTACAGTCTACATAAACAGAAAAGCAGAAAAAAGCTAAAGCAGGCTTTTCTCACCTCTCTCTGAAGTCGGCGTAGCTCCTCACTTAAGTTATTATTCACTTTCATCAGCTGCTGTACTTTGGCATCAGATGTTGCAAGGGCCTTTTTTACTTCCAGATACTCTTGCAAAGTAATGGGGCCATCTGACAGGTCTGAGGAATCCATGCTCTGCATATTGGAAACAATAAGGTCTCATTTCATGGGCTGAAAATGGACATAAAAACTTAAACGGTTTCTATGAACTAAGTGTGGTGGAAAATTCCAAGATAGAAATCTTATTTATTTATGTTTTTTAATATGTATTCTATCTGCATATTAGTTTTTTTCTTTTTGCTATGTTATGCATAATGACATCAGGTATCTTCACTTCGAGTGACATTAAAGTGTAACCCTTGATAGAGAAGAGAATGCATATTACTTTCATCGGGTTGTTATTGCTCTGTGTGTTCCCACAAGGGAGAGTTTCCTCCAATTCCCATGTGGTCATTTGGACAGGAAGGACGCCATCTCTCTCCACAGCAAGTACAGACAGAAAAAATAGAAAAGTTTACAATCAAGCATACCACTTTCTAAAGGCTTAAAAGGAGAACTATGGGGTCAGTGTTTTTCCCCATAGTTCTCCCCAGGGTCACGAGAGGACACCAACTAGCGTACTCCCGTGACCCAAAGTTCAGTATACCGCGAGCTACAGCTCACGGTATACTGAGACCTGCGCAGCCGGGATGGATCCCGACATTACTGTCGAGATCCACCCAGTTGCGTGATTGAAAGCTGGCTCTGCCTATCTAGAGGCAGAGCCAGCTGTACCCGTTCCCTCCCCGTCCCTTTCCGCCAGCCAGCGCTGGAGGATCGGGGAATCCCTGCAGGGAGCCGTGCGTGACAGTCCCGGCTCTCTGCAGGGACATGATCGTGAAGTGAGCGAGCGACGGTAAGTGTTTGCTCACTTACTGATCTATTGAGCTGACCTGTGACAGTTTCATTGTCACACGACGGCTCAAACTATGAGGCTGAGTGAAAATCACTCACCTCATAGTTCTCCTTTAACATTTGTTTGAAAGGTCTATTATGGAAGCTGCCTCTATCCTACTACCAGGGTGGATAGTTCTTCTGGATCAATGATGCAGTTATTCAGAATCACTCAATGACCTATGCCCTTTAATTACTACAAGGACTTTCCATAACCTTCTGACACAACTTGTTGAAAAATGCGACTTGTGCTGCAGAAGCTCTAAGATGTTTGGTAATGTCCAGACACTAGGCTAGCATGGGGATCCTTATAAATACAAAACTGGGTAGAGTCCATGAATAAAAGCCTCTATGACTACCAATATCAAGGTGAACTCCAGGATGTGGGCACGACTTTGATTTAAAAAAATCCCATTAAAGTAATATTCTTTACTTTCCGACAAAATACTAATACACTGATGGTAACATATATACATTATTCCCACACTTAGTACTGCCAGAACTGCTAAACCTTTTGCAACCAGCTGATTCTACTAGGGTAGATAGCTATGTAGCTGAAGAATGGAATCTCATATCTTTCATAGACCAAGAGGAGTGGAGTGGAAACGTATCCATATTAGTGAATAAAAGGAATACGAAGAGTAGGTTCCACCTTAAGGTATGCACTTACCGAAAGGGGAGGGGCTTTTAAGAAATACTATAAACTCTCTAAATGCATAAAAATATGAATTCATTTATTACATAATTATAAATAAATAAAGTTAAAAAGTAGTTGGTCTATTTTACATGCAGTATAAATGTCACATCAAGTCAACAATTGTTATTAAAATAGGACATAAAGATGACTCATTCAGATAAAACCCGACATGTTTCGCCCCACTGGGCTTCTTCAGGGGAAATTATATATCCTAAATGAGAGAGAACCCATGTGAGGCAAATTAGAGACTGCATTCTTACATAAAACGAACATATATATACACACATTGTGATATCATGGGTATTGGCAAGCTTACATGGAGGAGTCAAAGAGGACCGTCAGTCGACATGTAAACCATGCTGCTGCCCAAGGCTAGCCTTACTGAACCACCTGCGTTATGGGAGATTATCTGACCCTCCTACCCTGGCTCTGTTGTTTCTGGAGTTCCTCAGCAGGTCCTGGTCGTTGTCTTCATCAGACGCTACACTGTCATAGTCGTGCTGGTCATCACAGTCATTGGTGTTATTCCTCAAAGAATAATCAAGGTTGTCTACAAAAAGAATTGTCAATGGTCATATATGTTTAAATAAAAAGATCCACATCATTCACAGCTTTCCTAATCGCTGACCTGGAACATGCATGCAGCCAGTGAAGACAAAGTTCGTAATTTGCATACTTGTTTTGGGACACTGATTTAAAGTGTAAATCAGGCAACTAGTATTTTCAGAAGGAGAGGGCAGGAATAGCAGCCAATATATATCCAATAGCAAAGGCTCCCCCCCCCCTCACTATGTGCCGATCTGGATTCATTTTCCTGTGAGCTTTTTCTCTGTAGGACAACTGCAATGTTTTTAGATAATATGTAGTAGTGTCACCATCTGCAGGATTAGGTACTTAAGCTTTTAAGTAATGTCATGGGATGCAATGTGTCCCTTTTAAGATGTAAAACCTTGAAACCAAAGATTTAAAAATGATTACTATGTACATCCAGAAGGAGTGTACTGGGGCGGCTGTTCAGTTTGTTAAATAATTCTGAGATACATTTAACTGAAACATTTCTACATAAGAATGATAGATTCCTTTCTAAAGGGGATTTTCAAACACTAAAATCGATCTATAGGCTGACTAGTGACAGGTTTACTTTATGTTAGACTATTTACCATACCTGTGTAGATCACCGAGGTCTTGCCTTGTTGCCGCCTCTTGGCTTCACTTAGGATATCTATAATTAGAGTGGCAAACTCCCGGGCATTAAAGCGTGCCAATTTCTGACGCCCCTAGACAGACATAAAAGACAAGAAAAGGTTATGACTGGACATTCCTTACAAGCAGATGAGACCTGATTAAAAAAACAAACAAAAAGAACGCTAGGGACACGAGCAACACACTTGTAGGGTGGCAGCAAATTACCTGGTTCCTGGTTGCAGAGTACTCAGGGTTAACAGGCAGGAAAGGCACCGCACTGCGCTCTGTCACCAGTGTGCTGTGATTCTGGGTTGTTAACCATACTGTTAGAGAAAAGCCGAGTTTGGGGATTAGAGGAGAACAAAATGTTTTTCCATAAATTAATACATGCAGTATGTTTTATGAACTCTGTATTATCTCCACCCGGCTGTATGGCAGAAATGCTGCATTCCTTTCATTATCTGAAGACATGTTATTCTATTATGATGTTTTTTCCCTACAGTTCAACATCTTCCAATAATATAACAAGGAAACAAAACCCTATATTCAAAAGGTTTCAAAAGATTTAGAAAATCTACAATGATTCTGTAGGGACAACTCCCAGCATGCCCACCGACTGTGCAGATACTGGACATATTATATTCCCTTGAATTAGTTATACATTCATTGCTGAATGGATTCTGCCGTTAAGCTGTACACAAATGTCAGAAGGCAATTCCACAAATTGTACCTAAAATATTGCAGTTTCTAAAAGGTACTTGTAACTGTGGGTTATTTATTTCCTATCCTGGTGGAATTAGACTATAAAGCAAACCAGTCCGCCATTTTACTAACTTTACTTATAAAGTATAGGACATATGCTGCCTAAAAGTAGCATTACATGGTGCCTATTATTACCCAGAAATCATTCTCAGTGTTCATGTGGTCCTGTTTTCTACCTTGTTACTTAGGGTTCAACTTCCAAGACTACTGGACCAAGTACTACCCACCTACTGGACCCATGATCAATAAGAGAACATTTCATAGCGATAGATGTTCTCTCATTGGACAAGGTAGAGTGCGGTGCCTTATTCTAGGGGGCAAGGTAAATCTTCTAAAGGTGGCGTAGCCTAGCCCTTGGTAACAAAGTAAAAGGTAAGAGGGGTTAAATTAAGTCGTGACCCAAGTCGCACCACACTGGAATGCACAGGATTGCGGTACTGCATGTTCCAGTGCAAGCGATCAAACTGTGGGCGGGAGGTGTGTTTGGGGTGTCATTCAAATGAATGGCAACACAATGCACCTCCCGCACCAGAACGAACAGTAGGTGCGATTGTGTGGTAGTTTGTGATTAAAACACTGACAGACACACGACCGCAGACACAATCTCAAACACTCACAGACAGTCACACTTCCAAGAACATTTTAGGGGTCCAGTGTGGGCTTCCACATAACTTTCTATTAATGTGCTTTGATACAGCACTTTGGGAACATCCAACTTCTTTTGCAATGACCTTTTGAGGCTTCCCCTCCTTATGGAGGGTGTCAATGATGGTTTTCTGCACAACTGTCAGGTCAGCAGTCTTTCCCATGATTGTGATTCCTACTGAACCAGACTGAGACCATTTAAAGGCTCAGGAACCCTTTGCAGGTGTTATGGCTTAATTAGCTGATTAGAGTGGGACACTTTGAGCCTAGAATATTGCACCTTTTCACAATATTCTAATTTTCTGAGATTGTGGATTTGGGGTTTTCATGAGCTGTAAGCCATAATCATCACAATTATGACAAATCACGGCTTGAACTATCTTGCTTTGCATGTAATGAGTCAATCTCATATATTAGTTTCACCTTTTAAGTTGCATTAGTGAAATAAATGAACTTTTGCATGATTTTCTAATTATTTGAGTTTCACCTGTATGTACATACATACACACATATATAAAGATATCCTATCTATATGTATATCTATGTATAGGGGGGAATTTATCAAAACTGGAGCAGAGAAAATCTGGAGCAGCTGTACATGGTAACCAATCAGCTTCTCTCTTCAGTTTTTTCAGCTGAGATTTGAAAATGCAAGAGAGAAGCAGATTGTTTGCCATGCACAGCTGCTCCAGTTTTGATAAATTCCCCCCATAGATCTCTATCTATCTATCTAGAGATCTCTCTATCTAGATAGAGAGGTAGAGAGATAGATATATATATAGAGATATCTATATAGATAT